GCTTAGAGAGGCCTGAAAGCCCTATGAAGCGGTATATAAGTCTAACTGCTATTGCTATTCTCTGGGTGCTTCCTTGTTTTTTCAATGTCGCGCATGTACAATTCTTGCTGCCGTCAAGACACGTAATATTAAATATATATTCCCTTTATCGTATTTTTCGGGTACTAGGCCTAACAGAAATATTTGTGGCTTATATAGTCTGTGTTGCTTCAACATTTTTTCTAACCATTTATGTATTTTCGTCCATTATTTTTTTTTGCCTTTCTACCTTTTTTTCTTGTTCTTGGCTCAAGAGTTCTTTTAAGTTTTAAGTTTTCTTTAGAGTTCTTTAAAGGTCTTTTAATTATTCAGGTTGGGAGCCATTGTTTGGAGGCCCCCAAATTTCCATTGCTAAGCGAGGCAATTAAGTGAATTTGGGCCCGTTTTATAGCCTTTCTCGCCACCGTTGTTAAGCGAATCACTGCAGTTGTTCAGTTAGTAGCGTGGTTGTTACTAAGGCCTTACAGGTGTCTGGGAGAAGCTGCGATGACATCACACATGCTATGATGTCATTGTACAGATAGTCCTTGACTTACGACCACCATTGAACCCAAAATTTCTGTTGCCAAGGGAGACAGACGTTAAGAGAATTTTGAGTTTTTAAGTGAATTTTTAAGTGAATCTGAATTTTGATCACGTCAAAATGCAGCAATGGTCGTAAGTGTGTAAAACGGTCATAAGTCACTTCAGTGCCGCTGTAACTTTGAATGTTCGTTAGCTGGTCACTATGAGAGCAGTGAAAATAGTGACCGTTTTCACACTTACGACGGTGGTCATGCAATCAAAATTCAGATGCTTGGCAGCTTGCTTACATTTATGACGGTCCCTTTTGCGACCTTCTGACAAGCATGGGGAAGCCAGATTCACTTAATGACCGTGGGACTAACAACGGTAGTGATTCACTCAACAACTTTGGCTAGGAAGATGGTAAAATGGCGCAGAATTCACTTAACGCCTTGGCAACAGAAATTTTGGGGTCAATTGTGGTCTTAAGTCAAGGACTATCTGTACAATGACATCATAGCAGGTGTGATGTCATCATAGCTTCTCCCAGACACCTGTAAGATCTTGGTTAGGAGTTGCAAGTATCCTAAGTTTTGGCTGGACCATATTTTCAATCTTAGTCCGAAATGTTCAACCAATCCCCAATGGGAAAACTTGGCTGCCTTCCCATAATCTAATTGACCTGGTTATTGGAAGGAGCTATTTCTGCATTCCCACGTGCATGCAATCAATAAAGTAAACAGGCAGGTTTATTGATTTATTATGAGAGGGTTATGTATTTATTCTTATTTACCGTATTATGAGAGGGATCCTGGAGTCTTGGTGGAACAACTAAATATTATGAGCCATCCGTGTGCGGCGGCAGCCAAAAAAGTAAATGCAATCCTAAGATGCATTAACAGAGCTATACAGTCAAGATCAAGGGAGTTGCTAACACCACCCTGCAAAGCCTTAGTAAGGCCACACCTAGAGTACTGCATCCAATTTTGGCCACCACATTATAAAAAAGACGTTGAAACTCTAGAAAGAGTGCAGAGAAGAGCAACAAGGATGATTAGGAGACTGGAGGCTCGAACATACAGTGGACGGGTGCAGGAACTGGGCCTGGCTAGTCTAGTGAAGATGAGGACCAGGGGGAGACATGACAGCAATCTTCCAATATTTGAGGGGCTGCCACAGAGAGGAAGGGGTCAAACTATTCTCCAAAGCACCCGAAGGCCAGACAAGGAAAAATGGATGGAAACTGACCAAGGAGAGATTCAACCTGGAAATAAGGAGGAATTTCCTGACAGTGAGAACCATCAACCCATGGAACAGAAGTTGACTTTAGAAGTTGTGGGAGCTTCATCCCTGGAGGCTTTCCAGAAGAGATTGGCCTGCCCATTTGTCAGAAATGGTGTATGGTCTCCTGCTTGGGCAGGGGGCTGGGCTAAATGACCTCCCAGGTCCCTTTCAACTCTGTTAATCTCTTCTATTTATCTTGTTTATTTATTTATTGAAAATAATTATACGGCCACTCAACTTTCACTCGTTTGCCTTTCGCATCCCTGGCTAAACCACCAGAACAGAGTCGTGTTAACCAGGTTTAAAACCTGGTTTGGCTTGCAATCCCCTCGTTCTTAACAGAATTGGCGAAGCCGGTTGTGTGAACAAAATTTCCAGGTCTCACGTAAGAGGGAATTCAGAAGAAAATAAAGCTTTGTAAAAAAAAATTTGCCTACAGAAATGCGTTCTTCGCATCGATTTGGAGAGCTTTCGACTTGATTAAAAATCTTGCTTTTTTTTGGATCTCGAGGGGAAAGTGGTGCGATCCCAGACTTTGAAAGCAAACTAAAAACGTTCAGGTTTATAGTTCTCCGATGCAGTTTTCATAAGGGACAAGTTTTATTTCTGAAATGGGCCTGCGTGCGTTCGCTCGACCTCCCGGCGCAGCTGTAATCTTAGAAGGCTTGGCTGAGGATGGCACATTTATTTATACCGTGAACTTGATCGCTCTTTAAAAATAGCCCCAAATAAAATGCAGGTTATTCTGATGGGGATGGCCAATTTCCTGATTGAAAGCTTCTCATTCCCCCAAATAACATTTCTACTC